GGAGGAAGGACCTGCTGGAGGAAGGACCTGCTGGAGGAAGGACCTGCGGTGACGCTCCTTTGTGCATTTAGGAGCAGGAACCTGTCACTGAACGAGCTCTCCAGTTCAGCAGCAGCTTCATGGGGTGGGAGACGTTGTCCAGCAATGATGTTATTTTAGCTGGAGTCCTTCTGTCTCCCACCACCTGACCTGGGTCCAGGGGGTGTCCAAGCACCGAGCTGGTCTTCTTGATGATCTTATCTAGCTGCTTCTTCTCAGCTGATGATAAGCTGCTGCTCCAACACACAACACCATAGAAGATGGCTGATGCCACTACTGAGTCAAAGAAGGTCTTCAGGACCTGCACTCCAAAAGACCTCAGTCTCCTCAGCAGGTAGAGTCTGCTCTGACCCTTCCTGTAAAGTGCATCAGTGTTGTGAGACCAGTCCAGTTTATTGTTCAGGTGAACACCCAGGTACTGATAAGAGTCCACGCTCTCAATGTTCACACCCTGGATGTTCACCGGGGTCAGTGAGGTGGACCTGTGCCTGTGGAAATCCACCACCAGCTCCTTAGTTTTAGCAGCGTTGATCAGGAGCTGGTTCTGCTGGCACCAGTCCACCAAGTCTTGAGTCCGCTGTCTGTACTCTGAGTGGTCCTCACCTGTGATGAGGCCGACTGTGGCAGAGTCAGAACTGTTGCAGATGACAGTGATGGAGTTGATGGTGAAGTCTGCAGTGTAGAGGGTGAAGAGGAACAGTGCCAGCACAGTTCCCTGTGGGACCCCCGTACTGCAGACCAGCCTGTTGAGAACCCTCTGGACAGTGGTTGTCCTCATTAACATGTCCCTCAGTGGTTGTCCTCATTAACATGTCCCTCAGTGTCTCCGTGGTTGTCCTCATTAACATGTCCCTCAGTGTCTCCGTGGTTGTCCTCATTAACATGTCCCTCAGTGGTTGTCCTCATTAACATGTCCCTCAGTGTCTCAGTGGTTGTCCTCATTAACATGTCCCTCAGTGTCTCAGTGGTTGTCCTAATTAACATGTCCCTCAGTGTCTCTGTGGTTGTCCTCATTAACAAGTCCCTCAGTGTCTCCGTGGTTGTCCTCATTAACATGTCCCTCAGTGACTCGGTGGTTGTCCTCATTAACATGTCCCTCAGTGTGTCTGTGGTTGTCCTCATTAACATGTCCCTCAGTGGTTGTCCTAATTAACATGTCCCTCAGTGTCTCCGTGGTTGTCCTCATTAACATGTCCCTCAGTGTCTCCGTGGTTGTCCTCATTAACATGTCCCTCAGTGGTTGTCCTCATTAACATGTCCCTCAGTGTCTCCGTGGTTGTCCTCATTAACATGTCCCTCAGTGTCTCCGTGGTTGTCCTCATTAACATGTCCCTCAGTGTCTCAGTGGTTGTCCTCATTAACATGTCCCTCAGTGGTTGTCCTCATTAACATGTCCCTCAGTGGTTGTCCTCATTAACATGTCCCTCAGTGTCTCAGTGGTTGTCCT